CAAGGAAAAACCAAAGGTGAAGGCTATTTCTGCCATGCTGTGATTAGCAGCCAGCAGCACTTCTTACCCATCACCCCAGACCTCATAAGACCTTGCATTAGGAGTGACATATCCATGCCTCTTCCCCACCTAAGGCACCTGGCTAAAGCTCACACTGCTGTGCATCAAGCTTTTCTATGCTAGGAACAGAGCTCCTCTGCTTGCTCTATCAGATTAATACAAAAAATGCTGCCAGCATACAGGCAGGCCGTTAATAATGATTAATAGTTGCAACTTAGGTTTGTTTAACAAAAGGAAGGGTTAATGTACGACTGAGGCTGTCAGTGGACATTAGGGGAAACACCCATCACATCTCCAAGTTCCTGTCTGCTTCCGCTGTCTTTAAAGCTGAATGTATTTTGGACAGTATGAAAGTAGTTGGGCTCATTAAATTTTTATAGTTTTTCTTTGTCTTTTACAGACCACAGATTTTTTTCTTCCTTTGGTCACCATCACCATGGGAAATTAGCTCCTAAACTCTTATTAATTTTTTGCTGGCAGTCTTTAATGGCCTCACTCTTGCAAAGCATCCCGTTCATCTAGTGACTGCCAGGCCACGAGAGCACCAGGGCTCTCCCCCCACATCCCTTCCTCCAAGCAGAGATAAGAGCACAGTGATATTAAAAGCAAGAGGTGAGATGAAAGTGCCTGCTTCAGATCAGACACCGCTGCCATTCCATAATTAACTTTGCCTATATTTTCAAAGGAAGAAAAAAACAATCATTTCAGTCTCCCCCACGTTAATATTCTTATTCTCAATACTGGTATCGAGGAAAGAAAGTGGGGGCTTTCTTCCTGTTGAGCAATATTACCAAGTCACCTTCAAAGCACTATCTTGAGATCATTTTTCAAATGTCAGCATAAAAGGCAGCCAGGCTGCTCTCTCTTCTCTCTGTAGTTTCCCACATCACTTTGGGCTACTTATATGCACTTCTTTTTCCTACCTCCCCCTGCTCCATTCCCAACCGTGTAAAGCAAAAAATCATGGTGCCAGGCATCTGACAAGGTGTTTCTACAGCTCCCACACCTATACTCCTACCCTTCACACACTGGACTGGCAAGCTGCATCTCTACACCGGCATTACTTACGGCAACCGCTTTCAATACACCCTGGCTCCCTTCTGGGAGTCATTCACACGCTGCATATTTGTTAACCTGTGGAAACCTACAGAAATACCTGCTTGAAATTAAATGGAAACTTACTGTAGAGCAGAAGCCTCCACACACTGAGCTATATAGAATTCCGTAAGTCTGCAAACATAAATAATGCAAACAAGTACCTAGAGGTTAGAAGAAAATATGGAATTCAAAACTTTGCTTCTATTGCTGCCCTAATTTTCACAAAAAAAGAAAAAATAAGAGAACTTGAAAGAGTTACCGGCAGGTGCAGACTCTCCTTTGTCTTTTTTTCTTAAATGTGCAAGCAAAATTGAATGGATTCAACAGATTATAATGGGTATAATGACTCCCAATGGTTGGAGGCTGCATCTTGGAAGATGACAGTTCTGTCATTTCCAAAACTAAACTTGGTGTCTATCTGTGTTTCAGGTGTTCTCACTCACGAAACAGTGCAAATCTTCCTCTTGCCCCTGCCATGAAGAAAAAGGAAGAGGAGTTGCTGGTAAGATTAACCAGAGTGGTTAGCTACTTGAGAAACACGACTACAACAAAGCAAATTATTTCTATCTATCTTCCTGAAGGAAGGTGATTATCATACCACATTCACATATTTCAGTGTCAGATACCAGACAGACCAACTTGTGCTTCAGAAACCCCAACAGCCATTCCTTTCAGCTGTGACTGCAGTCTCAGCACCAGGCCCAATGGGGATCAGGGCACAGGAACTACCAAGCCTGGCCTCGCAGCTTCTGGAGACCAGCTTCACTAATGAACATCTGCTGCATCTCTCAGGCAGGAGCGTTCTTTTATTTCTGCAGAAGCTCAGTCATGGCATTATCTACGTAATCCATGCCTGAACCAGCGTATCCAATACAACACCTTGAAAGCAGGTATTAAAGCCAGCTCCATTACCTCTGTAGCAGAGCATTCTCTAAATCCACTTTGGATAATTCATTGGTTCTGCTAACTCCTCTGTTCTGTACAGCCTACCAAGGGAAAACAATAAACACAACTCTTGCCTTTGCATTTGGGTAAACAGAAACCAGCAAAAGAACAGCCAATTATTAACGACATTTCCTAAGTTTGCAAACACATTTACCGTGCAGCACTTAAATACTTTTTCTTGAGGTATAATGGATGGAATATAGAAACAAAACACAAGTTGGAAACCAGTTTTCATCAAAAGCGGGGGGAGAAAATTCCCCCCACTTTCACATAGAAGAATACACTGGAAAGACAGCCTTCACCATTGTGAAGAAATCCTCTCAGATGTACCCACACAACTCTTTGTGACTTGGATCATAATACTCTCAATAAGCAGCTCCACAATGCTACAACAAGTCAATGTGGTACACAGCAAAGGCTGTATGAAGAACAGTGCTCCTCTCCAGAAAGTACTGAGCAGTAAATTCTGGGTCTCTCATTGCATATTCAGCAGTGACAAGTGATAAAATTATCTCTGATGTGAAAAATTTAGGTCTCTCCTCCTTCCTAAGAGTTACTAGCATGGAAGTATAACTTCCATGGATTACACCTGTATCAACTAACAAACCATATATTCTTTCTCCTACTTCAAACCTGCACAAGCAAGAGCTGTCTGAATGCACTGCTGCTGGGCAAACAGCATTTTATGAGATAACCCTGTCACAAACAAATGAGAAGAAAAATCTACTGTCAAAAACAACATCATACTTCTTCATCACTGTGCTGTGACATGACTAACATTTGTCAAGGAAACAGCAAGTACTCCGAGTAGCTGTGATAGACCACTCACTCATTCCATCAAGCTGACACTGCCAGCATGCTGTTCTAGAAATGAGCTGTTTTGGATCAAACTGACTATTACCCCTATTGTTCTTACACAGATGAAGTCTCTTGTACTTTTGCACTGAGGAATGATCATGGCTTAAATTCAAAGGAGTTGCAGGCTGTGGTATCAAGGAATGAGATATATATACTTTTTTTTTTTTTTCACTTCAAGATGACTGGTATGAATTAACTTTGGTGAGAACTATTAAAAAAAGTAGTTAGCTGTATAGCAGTTGTTGGGAAAAGTACAGGAATTGATGGTCCCAAATCAATTCTCAGTGAAAGAAGTTTTCTGCATAGTATCCGTTCCCAAAGCAACTGTAACACTGAACCACTTTGGGCATATTTCCACAAAAATACTAAGGGTCGGACTGGCCACAGGACTGCACTGCCTATTCTCTGCAGCACTTCCCTCAACATGGCTGTAAGGAGTACTGTTGGGATTTTGGGAAGCAGAGCACTACATTTCAGTTTAGTTATTCACACTGTGTTTTGTGGATAAACAGAAAATTTAAGTCCCTAGAGATCAATACAGCACTTCTCCAAAGGGCTTTATGCAAAATGCATACCCTCAACTTTGCTACAAAAAGCACACTTGAAGAGCTGCGAATTTCCACACGAAGATGCCTTTACTTCAAGTAATAACAGCACTTCATTTTGGACTATAGCTCCCCGAAAGGTGAAAAGCCTCTTAGCTTTCTCTCACCAATAGATAACTGAGGCTGAAAGATTAGGAGACTGCTACAAATCAGCAAGAAAAGATGCCATGAAATCACTGCTGAAATAAACAGCATATTTAATTTTTGAGGTGTAAAAATTAAGGTCTTTGAAGAAATTGGATGCCGAGAGAATAAAATGATTAATCAGGGAGCTTAGCTGGAGAGCATGCTATTTGTTTTCCTAAGCGGCTGTCTTCTGAATCAACATTTCTGAAGCGCCGCTCTTGCTGGGACATGACTGAGTGAATCAGCTCCAAGCTCCCCCCCCCGCAGAGGATGCATTGTGGCAGCATCAACAGATCCCTCTCCCTTGCGGTGCTGCAGTGAATTCTGAATCCACAGCTCTTTATTCTGGGGCAGTCTGCCAGCGCCAAACAAAGATAACTGAGCATTTCAGTGAGGGTATGTGACTTAATTAACCAGGAGAATGAAAGATAGAATGGACATGCCTTTGCCAAGGTAGTGAGAGGAGATGAGTCATGGAAGTGAAATATGTGAGCCTCTACGTGGTTTCATAGACAGAAATACTTAGACATAATACATGGACCTATTTTTCCTAGTACGTGAAAATAATTTCATAACATAAAGGGTATTTCTCAACACTAGCCCTTTGTGAAGACCATCTCACCACGTACCTCCATGGGAAGAGTGGCTATGATCCAGATGTCAAGTGGATCTGGAGCTGGTGGGGCCGAGTGTTCCAAGGATGATGGCAAAGCTGGCACCAGGAATGAGCTCGGGGAGCTCCCTGCCATGGGACTGCAGCCAGACACGCATCCTCTCCAAAACGCCTCAATGCCATCCCGGCTCATGCGTCTGGCACGTGGATGGAGGAGATGGAGATGAACGGGGATGCTGTGTCGTGGATGCGAGTGGTGGAAATGAGGAAGGTGGAAAGAGAGAGGTAGAAGGTAATGGTGAAGGCCCTGCAGCTCGGCTAGGAAATGTGTGTGCAGCACTCAGTGCTGAGCACCGACCTCTGCCAAGATCTCAACAGCTTTGTGACAGAGCAGAGAGCAACGTAACAGGGCTGCTTCAGCTGCCTGTCTTTGACAGCACCAGCCAAACGGGAAGATGAGAAAGAAATCAGGCAATTTTCATTAGTATAAATGTAAGACATATGCGTCAGTATATTCTTATACATATATGCACATAGGGGTTTCCATCATCACTTCCTTTTTAAAAATAGTGTTTAGAACTCACAATGATTAACAAAACTTACTGCTGTATGCAAGAGAAGATGGATGAAGCCTCACAAAAGAGGTTATAAACAAGAAGATGCTTCGTGAGATAGGGGACATCTTCACTTGTGAGCAGTATTAAAACACCAACTTTATTCAGGAATACAGAATACATTTTTGAGGATATCCAGTTTACAAAAGTTTAAGACAAGGTTGGGTTTCAACACACAGCTTCCCTTAAAGCTCTCATACAATATCTTAATTTCAAGTGGAAAAGAACCCTCAAACCAGTAAAAAAGGGACAAACAAAGGCCACAGTTTTGTATTGAGATACATTCCAAGCAGAATCCAGCATGGTACTGAAATTCTTTCTGCAGTTACATATTTTAGTCCACAAATGCAATACAGCCTTGTGCTAACAAACATATTTCAGGTCTCATATGAACTGCAAGAAGAGCACTTGATTACAATTTTAGTTCCAGGCATATATGCAAAATAGCTTCCAATGAGCAACAGTTAAAAACAGTACTTGCCATTCGATCACCACTTTTAAAAAGACAGCATTAAATTCTTCCTTCATTTAGACAATTTTAAATATTCATTAAAATTAAATTCAGAATCAGTGTCCCTCTATCCTCTTCATCATTAATAGTTTTTCTTATCTACTAAAACCATTTGTCTTTTCTAAGATGTCTAAAAAGTAAAGCACACAAGATTAACAAGCTGCAGCATTAATTAATATGAGAGTCATCATCTCTTTCCTCCACCCAACTTCTAAATCTATCACAAGGGCCCCATTAGCTGTATCAAAGTGAAGTGGTGTAAATAAAACTGATTTAAAAGGAGAGGAAGAACCAATGCAGAGTTACTTAAAAATTGCAGTGCAGTCACAGCACTGTCATGTATTGCCACTGCAGACACAAGCAGAGAAAATTGTTCAGAGGCAAAAACATTACTGCCAGTTTTCCATTAGCACAATACCAGAGAGTAAATTATAATTTGCCATACAAGGAACTTCATCTTATTATCAAGCAGATTCACTAATGGCTTCATTTTAAAATACACAGCACTCTGACTTCTACAGAGGTTAAAGATAATCAAAACTTCTGAAATTTAAATACACGGTTTTCAAAAATAATCCAAACCTTATTTCCAACAGCCTAAACCCAATTCCTTTATTTACCTCAAGCAATCATTTCTTCCAACTGTTTTATTGAAATCAAATTTATTAATTAATCCCTGCTCTTAGTGGAACTACTCATTACTGTGGTCACTACTGAATACAGATCAGGAATCAGAACTTGGCTCTGGAGAAATCTGTTTTACTTGTGCAAGAATCGGCCTTTGAAAGAACATTAATTTGTTTAAATATTAAGTATAAGAGAAAGCTCCTGGCGGACGCACCTCAAATTAAAAGGTTAAGAGCAATCACAAACAATAGAATGATTAATTCCAACTTCACCAGCTACAGAAGTCCCACTACACGGCACTTCATGAACGTTTAGCTTCAACCTTACAAGATGAAGATGAAGGAACTGCAGGATTTTCAATGAAATATTTAATTTAATCAGTGCAGTTGTTGCTACCACGCTTCTCCAAAGATTCCACTAAATAATGCAGCACAGTGCTGTACTAACACTACCAGAAGTGACATATTATAAACAATTTCAGTATGATACTACAGCAATCTCCAAAGAAACCAGCTAGCAAATCTGTTACAGCTAGCAGAAAACTGGAGTAAGATGAAAACTTTCCTTAAAGTTTTAGCATGCCTTTCTGGAACGAGATACTGAGCTCCTGTACTTCTCAAAGTGGTCCCCAAAATTAACAACAAAGAGGAAGACAAGACTTGTTTCTCTTTTTGGATTTCTAGACTGTGATATACAACAACAGCCCCCCCAAACCAACATACAGTCAGAAAGGCACAATCTCCTTTTATAACGTGAATTCTAAAAAACTGAAAGATTCCTATACAAAGATAAATACACCCTTAGCTGGAAGGGAAAAATTCACACCACTTAGAATGCTTCTTCCTTTTTTTCCTTTTTTTTTTTTTTTTAAAGTCCAAATGGATTATCTTAATGCAAAAGTGACACGAATATATACAACCTGAAAGTGTATCTTCTATATATATATATATATATATGTACATAAACGACAGTGACTGACACAGACAGAAGCAGCAGGCTATTTCCACTCTTTTCCTACTTCTTGGCAATGCAAGATAACGTTTTTTTGATTCTGAAGGCAAACATGTTTGGTTTGCATATACTGTGTGTCAGAAGACATGTGAAATACAGTCTTCCATGGAAGGCCTGCAAGAGGGATATGTGCCACTTAAGTTACACAGGACACAACGGTTAGTTTCACTAATACAGCTTTAGGCTATTCAAACAGGAAAAATGAAAGTCTAATGAAACCACTGTAAACTTTTCAGTAGCAAGTTCTGAAATCTAATAAAATGTTTCAAAAACTGCAATAGAAAAATAAGGCTAATTTCGTTAATGTATTACATTGTTTGCTTACAGAAGGCTGTGCAGATCCCTACACAAAGGCAACAACAGGGACAGCAGGGTTTGGCACTCATTCCCATGCCCACATATGCTGTCACATCAACTATACTCAAGTTTGACTTGCATATAAAATATAGAGCAACTATTTATGTGACAATGACAACAGTCTGCCTACCAATTTGCAAGGACTGATGAATTAGCCAAATCCTGCTTCGTGCATGACAGTCTAACTATACTGCTTGAGCTCCCACCAAGAATGGAATCTGACCGTGGCTTGCATGTTGTTTTACAAGGACAAGAAGCGTCTTCTTCAGTGCACTTCAGAATAGGCTGCCTAAGCCCTTAAGGAAAAGCTGCTGTTAATTTATTTCCAAATAAAGCCAAGACCATCAGCACTACAGTTTTACAGTGTCCGCACTGTGTCACCTCAGCCCTGGAAGGACCGCTGCTTGTAAATCCATCTGGTGCCTGCCTCCCACATATCATGTCAGATGACTTCAGATATGGAAATAAAAACAAACAAAAACAAACACAAAACCAATTCAGTTTTATGTGTTGGAACTGAGACTGAACTTTAATCACTCCATTACCTACACCCACACTCAAGAATTCTTGAGTCTCGAGCATCTAACCTTTGGGAGAAAGATGTTACCTTAAATAGGGAGGAAAAAAAGCAGAGGCTTTGGAAGAACAGTAGTTTCCCTCTTTTCCATTAAACAGCAAAGCCTGTTTAATGACAGTGTTCATTACTTGGAAGATGAGAAGTGGGAAATGTGCTAATAGACAAACAGAAATAATTTCTCAAGACCAATTTCCCTCCGGACAAGAAAAAATTCACTGCATTCTCTTCTGTATATTAAGTGCAAGCACAGCACTGCAGAGGCATTAAAATTCAGAGTTTACCTTCCCTCTTTCCACTCTGAAAACCTTTACCTTTGAGTTGCTTTCTTGTGGGTGATTCAGCACTGCGCACTGAAACATATTTCATGGGAGACCATTCTAAGAATTAAAAGAGAAAAACTCAAAATAGATAAAAGTAATTCTGTTTATCTGAAGAAACTAGAATTTGAACCAAATGAATACGAATAATGGCAAACAATTAAGAAAAAGCAATGAGAACATCATAAGAAAAATGTCAAGATTTTGAAGTTCTACAGATACAAACAGAAGTAAACTTATGCAATACATGACGTATATACATACATACAGTATTAAACACGTGTATCCATACATGACCATATGCTGACAAGCCCTAAACCTTTCACCCACCTTCAGTTGTTTCAGAAATTAAACAAACTAGTCATCCACACAGAAGTTTTCCACGATGGATTTGCTTCAGGCCGGTTTTGGTGTTGAAGATGTAGCTGGAAAAGTTTTGGTTTTGTTTGCTTGTTATTTTTTAACTTTTATTTTTTATTTTTAAGAAGAAACATAGAGTGATGTTGTTTTGCCACGTCTGAAATCTTGAGCTGGTGTGTTAAGCTTCACTGCCTCCACAGTCAGCCTGATGTTTGACAGATGAGCCAACCTCTGTGGTTTTCCTGAGAAAATCCATGCAAATTTGACCTCAATACTAGCATTGGGGCAGAGGAATAAAAACAAAAAACACTTGTTTGTACAGTTATAGAGCTGTTGCATCGTCACAAGCTAAAAATGAAAGTTACATTCACAAGGAGAAAGTTCTAAGCAAGGAAGAGAAGGGCCATATACATTATCTTCTGCAATTTGAGTGCTGCCAGTGGGCTTAGCCCTGGGCTTCTTTCCTCCTGAAGGGCTGCTTCTCTCGTGCTTCAATGACCACCACCTGGCACTAGGCAGCAGGAAGAAACAGTTCACAGAGGACAGGAAGCAGTCTAGAAACAAGAGATCCGGCATAGCTTTTGCGTGCAACGTTTGTCAATATTACACATGCACATATATACATTCAAATACAGTATATATTCTGAGAAATACAGCACATCAGTTCTTCAGCATAGCACCATTTCCCTTGCTAGTCTGAACTGGAACCTGCTTGCAGGAATATTGTCAAGAACTGATGCAACTCCACATTCAGCTCTCACAGCTCTGTCTCTGATGAGCACAAAATGCTGAATTAAAAAATTAACTTAACGTGGACACAAATCAAGTCGTTATTCAGGCACACGTCTGCCTGAACCTTATAGCAACAGCAAATAAACCCACATGGACTAGAAAAAGAGCATCTCTTCTTGTCCATCCCAAACAGTGGAGCAGTTACGCTTCTCTTTCATCAACATGGTTGACCAGAGAATTGCTTGGATCTGCTGTCCTCTCAAGAAGGGTTCTGTGGCCATCCATGCTCTCATGAACGTCTCTCGTCCAACCGCTGTCTGTGCCCAGAGGGCTTCCAGCTGTGGGGGTGTCTGTGCTCACCATGCTTCCTGTCCGAGACCGGTAAGGAGGGAGATCTGGCTGATTAGGGGATTCAGACTCAGAACAATAAGGGGGTGGAGGAAGGTCAAACCAAGGTGGTCTGCTGTAAGATACATAACGTAGTAAGAGGTTACTGAAAATAGCGGCATGGAAAACCGTACGTAAGATTTTTTTCCAATAAAGAATAAAATGAGCAGTATTTCTTGGCATTTCCATGATGACACCTGTCAGATGATCTTAAACAGACCTTCCCATATTATTCATGTTATTCCAAAATCTCCAAGGCACCGCCAGGTAACAAGGTTTCTGGTCAGGATGCAACAGAACTAATGACTTCCTGCTGCAAGGAACATGCGTTGCCAAACAAATCTCAGCTTACCCTCCAAGATGAAGAAGTAAGAGTTTTTCTTGTGTAACTTTTACACAACCTGAGAAGGCACTATAAAAGAAGTAAGGTAAGTAGATTTGCATCTGTAGATAAAGATGTGAGCACAAAGCTCTGAAGAAACCTCTGCTATGTGACAAAGATTAATGGCTTAGGCTCTACAAATAAATAATGAACTGAATTCTTCACAAGAATTTTTTTTGCATTCCACATACAAAGCAATGCTAAGTAGGCACAGAAAGGATGTGGCACTAGATTCAGTAAGACTATTTTTGGATTCTGATAGTAAAAAAAAGTAAAGGAATGACAGAGTTTAGCAGATTGATATCAGGTATCGGGAGCAATTAGTTCTGAAATTGCAGATGGTTTGCAGTGGCCCAGGTGAGAAGCGATTACAATCTGGACTGCTGTTCATTCAGTTGTCCTTACTAATGAAAAGATATCACTATTATGAATGTCAACATTAAGACAAGTAAGCTGCTGCCAAATCAGCAGAGAATAGGAATGTAAATGATTATATTATCATTCCTAGATCCCAGAGATTGTGCTAAAGAACGGTGACAGGGTGACAGTGAACAATTTGGATCATCAAAGTTCCCACTCTGCCCTTTTTATGTACAAAAATGTCAGTCTAGCAATTTTATTTGGGAAGAGTTTACAGGCAGAGGTTAAAACAAAGGTTAATGATCTACAAATAAAACCAGTGTCACCAATACAAAATCAACACACCTGCAAAACTTCAAAGCACTTTCAGCTACTTAAGAAAAAAGAACAGAGCTTTCCATTTCAGAGTTTTTCTCTTTTCTTCTCCGGGTATAAAGAGAAGTGGTATAAAGCAGAGGATCTATTCAATTTCTTGATGCAAGAAATGCAGATCTCTTCACTTTATGTACTTATTTATCACTCATCTCCAGGATGTATATATACATACATATTTTTAACAGTATGTCCTACCAGCTAGCTTTTGGCAAAAAATCCGAATTAAGTTTTCATGTGTTGACTCAAGATTGGCACAGGATACTATAAGAGAAGTTCTAAATTTCTTTGCATTTTCCTGCTTCCACAACTGCACGTGCAAAGATCATGACTTCAGTTTGCCTTATGTGCCTTTAATGGTAATAAAAGCAAGTGAACTTGACAGAATAGCAACACAGTATCACCATCAAAAGCATAATAAGAATAAGCAGGAAACAGAAGCACAGATGCGCACAGATGCACACAGCTGCAACCAGTGTGAAACTTTGGTGAGAACAGAAATAGCTGCTGCACATACCTTTGGTCCAGCACAGCCTCTGAATAGGACGGAGGCGAGTCCAGATCCTCTGGCCTGTGGTAGGTCTGGTTGGACATGTACTGGATCCCATTGTTGACGTTGTAGGTAACGCTGCAGTGGTGTGGGTGATCAAGGACCACCAGCCGGGACAGCAGCACAGGGTGCTGCAGGCGATGCACCGGCAGGGTCATGAGATTGTTGCGTTTTCTTTGGTGATGCAGGACTAAGGCAAGAAAGGCCACCACGAGCACAAAAATGACAGAGCTACCAATGATAGCGTAGGTAATACTGGGGTAATAGAGCAGCTGATTTTCTGAGGTCACGTAATCTTGGCCGCTGCCTGCCTCTGCAAGACAAAAGGAGAAGAAAGCCTGAGATTCATTTCGTTTTACAATTCTGTAATACAACATACTCTTTCTGCTAGCATGCTGTGTGACAAAGCAAGTTTCTTAGCATATTAAAACTACACGCATGCAAAACAGAGACTGGCTGACCACCTCTCAGTTCATTCTCACCTGTAATACATGTCTCAGACAAATTAAGAGAGAGACAATGCTGAAGAGCAGGAAAATACACTTTGGTGAAGCACATGCATTATCATGAGGTTCGCTCAATCATACTTTTCACTCATACTACTTTTTCCACAGGTTAGAACATCCCTTTCTGAGACATAAGCACGATTCCACAACCGTATCTGGCAAAGCATTCTACAATCAGAAATATCATTAAATGCAAAGATCAGGCTTTTTATAAAGTGTGGTACAACTGATGTTTACTTAGAGCTTATGAAAAAAGGTAACAACTACATCCTTTGCTCCAGAAATCCAGCAGTCCAAACAAGTAAAAGAGAATACAAATAGCTGCTCAGTAAATGATTATTTGGACATTTGTGATCAACAGACCTCCTGCTGGAAGTAATTTAAAAGTAGAAAGTGCGTTGGAACTGCAGATAAAACCACTGTTGTAAGCCTGGTAGATATGATACCAGTAAAAGATGTACAAGCTTAAAAGCAAAGAGGTCTAGGAAGGGAAGGACAAAAAAACAAGCAAACAAATGGGTTAGGTTATAATAAAATGAGGAAAAGTAAAATGTGAGCAGGAGTGAGGGCATGACAAATCATGTAATCGAGCTTCGATTTGACTTGGAAATGGACAGTGGAATGGCTGAAAATGTAATTGGGTGGGAAGAAGCAGGAGCATGGTTGCAAATGGCAGCTTTATCAGGAAGACTGGTGATGAGAGAAGATGAGCAGATCAGAAGACGTACTTCACATACCATACAGCCAGTGCTTTATGTGCAGAAGGCACTGAGCAATCAGCAAAGTCACCGAGTATTCTAAAAGAAGTTATGCAGGATTTGTTCAGAGCCACGACACAGGAGAATCCCTGCTCAGGGTCCAGAGAAACAACAAGGTAACGGAATTATAACATCTACATGGACCTTGAACTGCATGCAAATCTTATGAGGAAAAAAAAAGAAACAACAAAGAAAGAGGCAAAAAGCAAAGAAAAAGTGGCTTAAAGAAGCAAAATGACACACACACTGATGTGACTGCCACACTTCAGTGCCAGGGCTGGGAACCTTGTTCCATGTCAACACCCTGCTGATAAAGTCCAACCGCATCTAACAATTGCCTTCTCTTTTGGGGGAATTTCCATTCCTGTGGAGGCTGTAACTCCTTACAGACACAAAAATAAAAATGCTGTTCTGACACAAAACATTAATCTATCTCAAGCAAAAACACGAGGCAGAGTAAAAGCAAACAAAAAATCCTTGCCCCCGTGACCCTCTAAAATCCACAAAATTATAAGGGGACCATCTATCCCAATTTTTCATTCCCTACAGCAAAAGGCTGGGACAGTATACCTTAACACGATTTTTCCCTTCCCACCCACCAGCTGACAGGTCTTGGTCACTCAGAATTGCAAGTGAGCCACTTACAACTGTCTCTGGGAAAAAAATAATGAAGTGTACACAAAATGTATCTGACAAAGTAGAACAGTTTTCCTCAAGCACCATTTGTGAATCAAGACCCTTTGGGTATTTCTTGCAATGTTTGTTTTCACTACTCTACTTTCATGGTAAAACACAAAGCAACACTTGACAGCATCACTAAAAATAACTTCTGTATCAGTTAGGTAAAATAATACAACTGAAATTGGCTAATCCTTTATACATCTCAATTTTAATCAAAAATAGTTTAGTAGAAGGAAGAAAAGGGAAGGAAAGACTATACTGGAACTAAGAAAACATGATTATCAGTCCTGTTACCAGAAAGAAAACTAATGCTCTGATACAGACATGCTCTCCTGTCGAAACCACTGTAACCGCAGACCAGAGAGCTGCTTTGCAGGCCCCCTGTGAGCCACATTTCACCACGGAATAATCCCAGTTTTCTTGTCTATGACACACATCAGCGAGAATCCCTCATGAATTTATTTCCCCACACAGCAGCACTGGAGAGGAAGCAGAAATTGTTGTTACCTGTCTCTGGCTCACTTAGCAAAGTCAACAAAGTCTGCACGAAGAATGTAAGTCAAAGCAGAAGGGAAGAAATGAATTTATATACATTAGGAAGCTTAATTACAGCTCATCACATGTTACTACGGCTTCTCTAACTTCACCTGCTGAATAATGAATTCTTGTCACATAACACAGACAAGGGCCAGTGCTGGGAGTGGAGTGACAAGAAGATCATTTGTACAACAACATCAACAGGTTTATATGCAAGGAGTGATCCATGGGTGAATACAGTTGCCTATGAATCTTTGGTGCAAGGGAAGAAGAAATGTTATGACATTCCAGTAAAATACTACAAGACTTCCACTCATCTTGGTTCACCAGTTAAAGCACATGGGCAGAAGAGTGAGAACAGAATGCTTTTGCAGACCTGATGAGACATAATTAGTTACCAAGGGACTATTCTCAGCAACATGGTCTCTCCTCTTTATTAATCTCCATCTTATCAAGAAATGAAGAAAAAATGAGAGCAGTGAATTATATGTCAACTTCTTTTGAAAACACATAGGGTTATCTGTCTGTTTGGGATAGGTCCTTTTTAGGTCCTGCATGAAAAGCCTCCATAGATCCAAGAACATTTTGCCAAAAATCAGATGTTTTAAAGAGGAGAAAGAATCCGATAACAGCTTTAGGACAATATAGGGCTGGGGAAAAAACAAACAAACAAACAAACAAACCCTGACCATTTGTTTTATCTAGCTTCAAAACCTTTTCACACAACAGTAGCCTAGCTATCTTACAAAGATTTGGAGCAAGTTTGCACTTAACATACTGTTTTGCAGTTTTGGAATTACATCATTTGTTTGCCAGTAATTCTCTATTCCTTTTCAGGTTTTTAGTTTTACTGCCTGTGTTTCCATTCACTTCACCATATCTTTGAAGATAAGAGCAACCTAAGACATGTCTCCACTGGGGTCAGTATAGATCTCTCTCAACCACAAACATAGTGAAAATGATGCTGTTTTGAAAACAGCTGATTGGCACGGCCTTTGTACTAGCCCATAAGCAACACTGTTTGGGGGATCTAAATTAGCATCCCCATCAGTGCAGCAAGTACTAGTTTGTGCTACTCTGGCATGGTGCTGCGCTGAGGGGTACAGAAATACACTATGAAGAGAAAAAAATCAGGTTTTATCTGTCAAGTGCTCTTTCTTATACACTGGGCAGTGCTGAGTACTTTGAATACAGACATTTCTCTTTCTGCGTGCAAATAATCCATCTCCCTAAGTGCAGAAAGCCTCTATACATACAGTGTACTATTGAAACACTCTTCTCCCACACCAACATATTTATTCTTGCCTTATAGGTGGACCCTCTGGCCATAAATACAAAATCTGAAAGTCCTTTAGCAAAAGATACTCACAAATGAAGTCCAGTGGTATTCCACTTCCCCTGTGGTGCAGCTTAAACCAGGAAAGACGAATCTTTGTCTCATCTTTTCCTTTTGCTAACAAAGTCACTAACTGCAAAAATGCTAAAGACTAAAGTAACATTACCTGAGCCTGATAGCTGTGCTTGACTTGTAGCCCTAGAGAAAACATTTGCCATTCAAAAGAAAAAAAATGAACTACCCTTATTGGTCTCCTTCTAAAATAATATACCAGAACAAAAACTGCTTTATGTAACAGCTAAAAGTAGCCAAACTACAAGACAGTTTTGACTGTAAAAGACATTTGGAGAATGTCTTTTCTTCCATTATCTGATCCTGTTGAAATGAATAACTTAATGATAATTCAACACACGTTCAAAAAAGCGTCACACATCAGAGATGTACGTCCAGCTACTGCAAGAGTGGAGGAGAACGCAATAAGTTCTTCTGCCATGCTTCTATAACTTGCTGAATAAAAGAAAAGCCACACATGCTCCCTTTCCCCTTATTACTTTATGTTGTCAATGTCTTCAAATTTGAAGAGAAAGTTTTGCACAAAGAGAAAATAGAAGTGCAAACAGCTGCTTCCAAAGATGTCATTCCAGTTTGTCCTAGAACTATGTGAGCATGCAGGGGTGCAGAAGGAAAGGATGGGAAGCTGACACTGCTTAAATGAATCGTACACATTTTGTACACTTCTTAATAGAGAAAAGGTGAGATAAAACACCACCTGAAAAACCTTCGCCAAACATGCAATACTACTTCAGAAAGAAAAAGCTGCAACTCTTTCGTTCTGCTCCAGTAACTTCCAGCAAATGTTTACACATCACGGAAGGCACTGAACTGAATCTCTTGGTAATACAGCCATCTGCTCCCAGAAGCAGCCAGTATCATCCAGGTAGCTTTAGAGAGTTTTCCTTACTTTCCTATTAAATACAATTTTGCAAGAAAAAAAGTTGAGCAGGAAGGCTAATATAGTTTAAATTCGTGGCGTATTTATTCTTTCATGGTTTTTTTTTTTCCCTTAAGAAGATCTATGTTTTTTAATCACACCATGTATAAACAGTTTATCAATGCCACTTACGCCTATTAAACCTTATTACCTGGGAAATGCTGAATCCACAGACTGGAGATTTTTGGAGTGTAAAAAGCTTTGTGAATAATTTAGGAAAGGACTGATAAAGGAAACGTAAGGGGTTGTGCTCAGAAGACCATCTTATTGACTGTGAACAAATTTGCTGTCTCCAAGTTTTTGAAAAGATCTGAGAGTAGCTGCATTAACCGCATTAGGTCTGCCAGACAGTGGGAAGAGGGTCTATTATTTTATCTTTCGCAATCCTCTGCTCAAGCCTGGCTTTTCACAGTTCATCAGAGAAAAAGCTTTTGAAATACACAATCTGAGCAGACATCCGTAGCCTTAATGAACACAAGTCACGGTCCATCTCCAACAAAGACG